AATTGCGAAATATTTGAATATAATATGAATAGTGATCACGTGGCGAGTAGTCACACCACATGTAATAACTTGGGTGAATATATATTATACGTTCTACTCTCCCCGTACCGAAGAGCGAACCATAACTCGTTATAAACACTTTATTTGGTGCTATATTTTCACAATTGAATAAACCCTACTACATCAAAATAACACAAAGGATGAAAGATCATGTTCACAGGTTGCCCTGAAATGATATGCAGAAATAAACAGCAAATGACCGCGAAAAAATAGAAAACCCAATCAAACTGCATAGCCATTATAACCAAAAATAGGAAATAGAAAACAATTTTTTACCTTCCAATACCGAATTGACTTACGGGAAATTTGTTTATCTCTGGTCATCTGACATTACAAATATGCCTAGATAATTCTCCTTTCGTACGTTCATGGCGACCTAGTGCCACGATTGTCAAATTTGCTTGGACGGATTCCCAACTCGAGAACGGGCCAAAACACTCTTATTATCTGTTTCAGGTAAACTTGCTGTCATTGTTATACGTGCATTATTTTGACGAAATGATCTGGTGGAAAGTAACTTTGAAAGTACATATTATATGGTTTAGAGCGACATTGTGCATTGCTTACTAAGTTATAAATAGATAGAAAAAACAACAACTTTAATTGGTGATGCGAAATTGCGTTCACTTTCAGTTAAGTAGTTTCATGTCATGATAAATAACTGAGGATGACATTTTTGCTAATTCTAAAACTGGAAGTAACTTGACACCTTTGCTTATAAAGAAATGCATAGGAATTGTATGACTTTACAAAAGCTGACCACTCAAATTCCAGATCTGGAAGGACAGGAAGATTTTTCTGGATTGCTGGTTCGGGAAAGTTGGCACAAAGTAACATTGTCCATCATTTTGAATATTTGTTTATGCAAATTGAAATTGACTGAAACAACGTATATTGAGTAAGCCAAAAACTGCTTGGTATATTAGTAGTGTTACTCGTTACTGATTGTTGACTAGCCTGAGAAAGGCGTATATCGTCGAACAGCTAAGCACCTAATACATGCAGGTTATTGCCATATCCACGAGCGATCAAAACCACGATATTAAATATTACAAATATATTGCGCCCTCTAGTGACGATGCGCTTCTGGGATGCAAATGGTGACAATATGGCCGTTCAAAGCATCAATATCGTTCGGATCTGTACGGATCGGATGATGAATATATTTTACTATATTCTTGATGAAGAATAATAACACAGCTACACAGCAATTGATGATTTGAACTACATTGATATCCAGGGCGTAATTAATAGTAATGATGTATTACGACTGGGTTACTTGGGAGAAAGTTGGGACGATTTTATTGTTGCACCTATGGTACCTACTATGTAATCGTAATTCCTGTAATACGTATTAACAGGCAAACACGAAGACCACCAGTGGTTGTTTTGGAAGATCCCTTGCAGAACAGCGTGAATTGACCAAACAAGACAACATGTTAACTGAATTGAAGCATTTCATCAAACCATGTATCTACGTAGATGTCACGTTTATTGCGTGACGAGTTGACGCGACGCCATTACATGATCAAGAATGTATTAAATAAATTTACTGTATACAGTGTGAGTAGAGATAAGTTAGTTACAAAGTTATTTTAGACGGCCTGACTTAGATATCATATTGACGAGAATGGAAAATTGGTGCAGTGTGTTATAATCATAACTGAAATGCAAGTGATTTTGTTGTGCGAAAAGTGAGCTGACAATGAGCAGTTGCCCTGAGATTATGTGTTAAAGTGCACTAAGTTACGATATTTGTTTACTACAAAATGCTAATATATATGTGTAAGAATTAGTACTGAAAACGAACCATATTTTTAATAATTCAGCAATGGTGCTAAAAACGTAAAAAAAAAGTAAAAAAGTATCAAATGAAAATAATTATTCTTACCTAAATCTGGATTGTCGCATACATCTACGACTGTATTACTCACAGCTTCATGCGTCAAATTATTAATCAAGATACTCTCGCCTTTCTTGAACTTCATAGCTTTTAAAACTGTATTAATGCCTTTAAAAAGACATACACCCATTTGTACACGTCAAGAAAAAAAAAATCAATGAGTGTATTAACCAACTTCTGAATCACATGTGACTAGCTAACTAGCTAGGCAACTTGAATACAAATCCTCGATGAAATAATGTCCTATGCGACAATCGATGCCAGTACTATTACGGGATTGTTTGTAGTGGTGTGTTTTATTATTATTTGTTTCATTGAACACACTAGAGAAGAAAAACCAATTTCCGTGAACCTACAATGTTGAATTTCAATTTTAAACTAGGACTTTAAGAATATGTCTACATACCAACTTACCCTATCTCTTTAACTATAAGCTTGGTATATTATTTCTAATGCGTAGATTTTTAGTATTCAAATTGCAACCCTCTAAGTAGTATAATCTTAAATGAGTGTATAATTATATTATTATTGGAGTATATTATTAGTTCAAAACTATTTCTGCTGCGTCTGGCTTGGTTGAAACTGTTACTGATAAGTATTTCTTTTATGAAGAGTTCACTGCAGTCATACATTCTCAAAAAATGGCGGCGCTCTCCTTGGTTTCAAGGCCAGTATTAATAACATTTTGGCCTCAAAATTAACTATACTTTCAATGCTAAGGCTATGGGTGACTTAAATGAAGCTGCACTGTGTCGATTGTCATGCTCTTCAGTTGCAAACACCTTGAAAACATAGTGACCCTGTTCAAATCATTCTACACAGGACTTGGTTCTGCATGGTTCTTTCTTTTAATATAACATGGCATATACAATATCAATGGGTAATGGCGCCTAATAGGAACGCCTGTATAATTATGAAATAGTGGTCTTTTTACACGTTTTTTATATTAGTTTTTATTTTAGTAGTGTGATTTGATGACAAAATTACGTGTAAACAATGAATCCAGTTTTACCTTACATTTGTATACTTTCACCTTACATAGTATACTCATTAATTAATAACTTCAAAGAAAATTGTTATTATAACAATACCTGTTGTTGTATTCTCCACAAACACCATATTTTCAATATTGGCGCCAACAAATTCAGCGATACTGAGGAGCGCTTCTTCGTAATAAATTGGACTCTTCAATTTCATGAATTCATCAGGACGGGACTCAGCTTCTTTAAGAAATCTGAATGATAAGACAATATAAAAATGTGTCAGATATAAAAGGGTTTCATAATATAAAGATTGAATAATCACAGTCTTACTAGTGTCAACATTCACTGAACATTCAAATTACCAATATTATGCACGATGTTTCTTAGTGATTGAAACTCAGTAATATGCCTTGCTGGTTTCAATTAATTAGTTTTCCACTACATAAAATTGCTCCCTTACACTCACTCGCGTCTCGCATGAATGTACTGACTTTAGATGTGTGATACCAATTATGAATGTTTTGAGTCGTATAAGTAGCAATATGAAATACAATTGTCATGAAATATATAAGTATTTGCTGCGGTTTTATAATGGTGTGCATTAAGTACGGTAATCGTTGTTTACTTTGCTGACTATCAGACTCATTACGACACAATTAATTATGTAATGTCCGTTAGTGATAAAGTCTGATAACAACAAATAGAATTTGATAAATATGAGTCAAACTATATTATGCAATTTTTCGTAAAAATGGCAGAACCACAAACATAATAGTCAAACATTTCGGTCTTATTGTATATAATAAACTGTATCATATTTTCATTTTATATAACTGTTAATTTGAAGAATATATTATTATCAGAACCATTCTATATACGTACAGATTTACAAAACCAAAGTACAGTTGTGACAAACTTTAATCTGTACGCCACTTCAGTTATGCAAACAAATTACACGGCAAATAAGAAATGCGGAATGCGGTGATTACAGTACCAAGAAGCCACACGTTTATTACACGTATTCCCCCTACAGATG